CTGAGCAAAAAAGGAAAAATTCTCATTTTTCTTTCCTTGGACGTAAACTTATTCATCTTCTAACACAGAGTCAAAAGTATTAAAGATATAAGAGATTTTCAGCCTTTGAAATCTAAAAATAGTAATGATTTGATGATTTGTATGTGTGTGGGTATTCTTATAAAAGATGTTTTTATTAATCCCTTTTTTTTTAACAAAGAAAATAAGACATTTTCTGCCTGTCTTTTGGGGGAGAAGGATTCAAGAATATTGGAAGATTAATGGAAGAATACAAATCTTCCAGTGGAAGATTTCTATAGTAGTCTGTTTTGACAGAGAATACAGTTGAAAATTCCAAGTAATTCTAAATATTTTCAGTCAGCTGTCAGTCTGACATAAACTCTCTTTCTGAAAATGGATGTTTTCTTTTCCCACTCCACCCCAGTTATAGAAAATAAACATTTTAATTTGATCTCTTATTTTTCTGTCAGATAGCAATCTAGACCTAGGAGAGAAAAGAGAAAAAAATCTGCACACCCTTTTCTGTACACAAATCAACTGAAGTAAATGTTTATGCAATTTGATGCAGGTTGAGTTTTGAAATAACAAATTCCAAATATAATGATTGTGGCCTCATAATTCTTAGCATGATTTTCAAGGTTAGATATATGCATGACTTAAAGCATATATAGCTAGAATTTTTTTTAGAAGGATTTTACATGTCTTTACCCGGTGTGCTGTTTGTTTATGACCTCTGGGGGAAATCAGCCTCCCAAAATGAGAAGTTTAAAAGCATTGGTATTATTGAGTAGTACTAATGATTAATGAGTATGTTAAGTGACCTGATGAGTAAAAGTCTGCCCTGTGAGCAAAGCCTGATCTGTCAATATGTGGGCTTAAGAGAATGGGCTGTACGAGACATTAAAGCAATTATCTGTCTGAGGAAGCTCCAAGCTTGTTTTGATGATGTGGAAAATCAGAACTCCAGAAAAATCCTGCAAGAACACAGCAAAAAACCCCACTTTTGTTAAATAGAGGTTTTTTCTTTTTCTTTTACTTAAAAAAAAAAAAAAAGCCACAATATAGAGGAGGATAAGAAGAATACTTATTCTGAGAGGGTTTTTTTGAGAGTCCACTCTGAGGGGACAATGAATGGGTGTTCACTGTGAAGGCTGTTGTTTAAGGAGATCGCCAGGGCCACAGGATTTCTCAAAGCTGGCTTTGTAGCTGCTGCCCTTCATGTGATTGCCCCTTAGGCAACTGCAGTCAAACTGATAACAATTGGGATATTTGAAGTTCACCCCATTCATTTGAAATGGAGTGAGTGAGGGAGCTTCTACATGTCAGCAGGTACAAGGAGACAGGAAGGTGGTAACAGATGGGGATTCACTCAGCCACCTTGTCAGAGTGTGCTCCTTTTGCCTGGCTGGCCAGGCTCTTTCATTTATGGCCTGAGCATCTGTGGTGACTTTGCTTTCTGTCTGATCCTCACTCTTTTGGTTTGCATCTACTTTCGTCCCAGATTTATGTAAATAACTTTTGAAATCGTTTTGTGCAGCCTCCAAAGCTGTAATGAACATCAGGTGAATAAATTGCACACCTGGGACCATGAAATACTGGTAAGTAAAACTGCAAGAGGAGAGATCTCAGAAAAGATGCAGACAAAGGAGTGGTTAGGATAATTTCTCAGGAGAAACTATTTAAGTCTTCATTTCCTCATCAGGTGTTTTAAGAATTCCCTGAAGCATTTTGTGGTAGAACAAAAGCCTAAATAATCTTAATTCTTGCCAACACCAGTCATTCCTGTACAATTCGTGCCTCGCATCTGTCTCTGTAGTCTTCAGATGAATCAGCAGCACTTCGTGATATTCCTACAAAGTACAGAGCTCGATTGTGAGTGATGTTACTGTGTATTAAGTTGTTTAGTTGGCTCTCCAAAGGCAGCTGCTGGTTTTGCCAGGATAATTTCATCCGTTTCCCAAGCTCTTGAGCTTTTCCAGGACAGTAATTTGTATAACAACTGTCTTATCCACCTAACATCTTTCCTTGGATGTTAAAAAGTGAGGTTTTTTTCTATCTCAGCCATGTCTGTATGTGTGGGTGTATATGTACAAAGGGAATACAGCTATCAAATCCTTCCCCCTGCTAGTTTAAACTACCTTGCTCTTGAACTGTTGCATGTTGTGAATCCACTATACAGTTTACTAAAAATAAAATTGCAGGTGTGAAAGAAAGAATTAGATAGGCTTTTAAGCACTATGTATGATCCCTGCAGCCTGTACGGGTTTGACTGGGCAAGGTTTTACTCACTTTGCAGAGTTCTCCAGCACTCCCCACTTTGTCTCCTGCTCACAAATTCCTGGTGTCCTTCTGCTCTGCCCTGGGATGTCTGGCACATTGCCACCCCGCCCAAGAGGCACCAGCACAGTGGGCCAGGGCAGAGATTTCAAGTATTTTCAGATATTTTGGAATTGTTTTCTCAGCCAGAGTGAGCCCGAGGAGACCCAGAACCTTGCTAAAATGCTCTGCAGGTACTGCCAATCTCCTTGAGAGGACCAGCCCTGTGAAACATGGACCTACAGCCCTGTGCAACAACCAGACAGAAACCTGGGAACCACCTAGATTTGGCCGTAAGTGATAAACCAATTTCACCTTTGTTCATGGAAACACCAGGCAGAGTCTGGCTCTGGGGTAGTGCCCATTGCTGTGTATTCCCTGCTCTGCCCCAGAGTACCCTGCCCCCCCCCACCCCCGAAAAAAGTACCTGCTTACCTGAGACACACAGTTACAGAGGCTGATGTCCCACATTTATTTTTTCCTGTTGACAAACATCAACTAAAGAAAGCTTGCAAGACAGCTCAAACCTTTGTCTTCCTGTACACCTTTCTTTGTTTGCCTTCTCCCTTTACCATCTGCTACCCAAAACCAAAGCATAATACAAAGACTGGCACTCCTGAATGCCCTTGTTTTCTCTCTTACTCCATTACATTTTCTCTCTTATTCCAAAGCTTATGCTTTACTGAATCATTCCAGCAACACTTTTAGTTCCTTCTAAAAAGATAAAAAAATCAGGCATTTCGTTTTTTCCAGTTCATTGTTGTAGCTTTTTCTTTGGGGGGGGGGGGTTGGGGGTGAAGTTTTAGCAGCTTGACTCCAGATAAACAAGGTTCTTCAAAATATTGGCACTTTGAAATGTATATGTGGGATTTGGCAGATTTTTCTTTCCCTTTTTCTTTTTCTCCCTCTCTTGGACTAACTGTCATAAGGTTGGAAAAAAAAAAAAATCACCTGTTTGAAATTTGCAGCATATGTAAGTCTTCAGCTGGTGTGAATAGCTTTCAGTGGCACAGCGTGCCCCTTGCTAATCCAACATACACTAGTATGTCAATGGCTCCTGGGCAGTGTAATTACTTTCTGGGGAGATTTTGATCGAAGGTGTTTTGAAAGTGAGCACCGACTTCAATTACTTCTGCTTTTTAACTGCTCTGGAGAAGTTTGTGTGTGAAAGACAGCAACCAGAAACCTTAACAGCACACCCTTAGAGCAGCAGAACGTGTTTGTCAGTGGCACAGCAGTGTGCTGCACTGAAGGTGACTGGCTAACGTGCTTGCTTGTGCACAAGCCCAGAACTTTAAGAATAACTTGGTGTACATTTTCAGCTTACAATATGGAGAGCTTCAGTTTAATTTCTATCCAGATAGTTTTGATTGTGTGCCTGGTCATGTGTGCATCTGCAGCAGTGAATAATTCACAGGATGTACCCATTTTTAGGGAGAGGTGGATTCTATTTTAGATTAAGAAAACAAAAGAATAAACAAAAGTAAACTTGCGAAAGACCTCTAGGGGTTTGTTTGTTTTGTTTTTTTTTAAAAAACGTTACAACTTTTGAGCATGAAAGTACTAGTGTTTACAAGCAATTCTAAGGAGTACAGAAGCCCAGGAAAGATAGTTTGTTTACTTGGATAGTCTGCGAAGAGCAGTGAACAAAAGATAGCTTTTAACAGACAAAATGTGTACAGGAGGATTATGTACACGGGCAAATTACAGCAGTTGGAATTTAAAGAAAAAAATCCTTAACAGCTATTCAGAGTATAGTTTTGAAGTAAAAGACAAAAATCAACAGCAAAAAACCCCAGTGAGTTTTGATAAGGAGAAAAATGCAGCCACTGGAAGCAGATACAGGAGGTTTTTTTCTTTTAGGGAATGATGGTGGGAATTAGGACCAGGTTATGTTAATCCACTGGTGAACCAAAACACAGGAATTTGAAAAATGAACAGAACAGTGCACAAAAATGACCTAAACGAATTGGTTGGTGCTGCTTAATATTCATCTAATTTCTCTGACGTTAGCCTAGATTTGGCTTGGTTATGTAAGTGAACGCATAGAAGCCAGCCTTTACATCTAATGGAATATTGGTTTAAAATCGTTTTTCACTTACTGAAAACTCCCTGCAGAATGCCCAGAGCTTCCTCACTCCAGCTTTTTGCTGATGAGGTTGTATTTTCTTTGGGAAGTACCCTGACACGTTGCCTGACTACCGAAGTAGCTCAGTACTGATTACATAAGGCACTGGTGAGAAACGGGGGCTTGATGTACCAACAGGCTACTGATCTGCCTTTTTGCCTCTAGAAAGCAGTTCATTATTTCTGGTAAAGTCCGATTTTAGCAGTGCATGTGATTGTACAGATGTTTTAAGTAAAGCAGGCTGTTGAAAGATGCCTGAAAGTAGCAAAGAAGGCATATAGATGAGATACTTGAGTTATACTTGCAGACACCCTGTAGTGCTCCCGGTTATCCCTTTCTGTGCAGGTCGTCAGAGACTCTTGCTGAGTAAACTGAACAAAAATCTAAAAATTAAATACTCTCAGTACCTGCTCTACGTGTAGATGTAACTAATCTGTTGAAACTAACCCCCACATAGCCACTATATAACAGTAGCCCTAGGAAGGGCAGAGTAGGATTAAAAGAAGAAAGGGGAAAGAGAGGCTGCGGCAGTAAGCGAAGCTGAAACAGAACTCACTCTGGTGCAGTGATACGTGGTCCCTTCCTCAGCGCACACGAGTCCCTCTGAGTGCTGACCTCGGTGGAAAAGGCTTTTATATGCTCAAGCAGTGTTTATTAATATGCAAACCACTCCCCATGACAAGTATGCCTTCATTACTCACTCTCTCCCCCCCTCTCATACACAGGCACACACACAGCAAATTCATAATTTTCTCAGATAACAAGCAAGTTTGGTGACTTTTGGGACTAATACAGCAAATTGTGTGCTGGAGTTTTTCAGCTTGTGTTTGAAGACAAGAAACATTTTAAAGTGCCATTTAAAGAATATATAATGATTATTAAAAACACAGGCACTGGCGAGCTGAGTCAGGCGATGGGTGTTTTTTCTACATGTAAGAAGTGTGGAACAAGCCAAGAAATGTCTTTCTTGGATTATTTCTAACTCATGTGAAGCCCCACAATATCTGATCTAATTCTAGAACAATACCTTAAATAGCTGTAATCTCACTTTTACATAAAGAACAAAGTGTGATTTAAGTTGAATTGGTTTTTTGTTTTGGTTCGGCTCTTTTTTGTTATCAGTGAAGAAGGGTAAAGATCAAGCTCAGTCCATGAGTAATGCACGTTAGAAGTTAGGGCTTTGGGATGTTATTGCTTCTTATCTGTTGTGAATTTCATGCTTTACTGTTTGTTTTTTCTCTTCCTTTTCATTGGTACTTTGGCCTTAGCAAAGCCATTCAATGCTGCTGTACTTTGCTTTCCTCTGAGCTTGTGACCAGAAAGCAGCAGCAATGGAGCAAAGCTTTCTGATGCTAAAAAGATAGGTCTGATGTGTACTACACAAATCTGCTCTGAGGCCTCCTTCGTTTTTTGTAAATAAAACAGTCGTGGGTGTTCTCCACAGGTGCAGCAGGGAGCAGTGCTAGCCAAAGCACTCTCCCCTAGGATGAGGATATGCCAGATCCTCGTAGCTCACACCATTAATCATTTGCCACAGGTCAACTCATTTCCACGTAATACATGTTTTTCCCTGGTGTCCACAGCTGACTTTTCAATCACCAGCAGCCTTTAGAGCTAAGAGAAAATTTACAAAAAGAACCCTGAAATATCTTCCAGCTGGGACTGGTGTAATCTGTGTGGTGAGCCAAATTGCTGAGGCTTACCTTGATGGTGGCATTCCGTGCTTTTGGATTTACCTTTGCTGCGGACTTATGATTTAACATTCCTTTTCTCCAGCATGTCAACTTGGGAATGGTGGTTTCAAGTACATTACAAAAAGGGAAGTTTAAAGTGGTTTAAGTAGCACCATATTTCTCCAGTTTTTAATTGCTGATCGTTGAATAAGCAGCCTCTTTCAGATACAGCAGCTCTTTCACTTGCGGAGAAGCAGTCTGAGGTGTTTTCCTCATGTCATTAGCAGAAAACTGAATGAGTATTTATGGTGCTCAGGTAAATGGAATTTGAAACAAACTTACTTTACAAGTGTTTGCAAGATTTTGAGCCACTTAGATGTTTTATTTATTTTAAGTTGGAGCAGAGTGTGGAACACAGTGGTATGTTGAGGGATCTGGTTCTCATCCTTCTCGAAGGGAAGCAGAAAGTATTCTCCAGGAACTGTTTTCAACAGACAGCAGTTTACTCCTACCCTGGCAAGGTTGCTAGTGATAATACATGGTAAAGCATTAGTAAAACCACCAGTAATCTAGCTTTTACTTTCGATATGAGGTATTTAGTGACTTAAAACTGTAGTTCAATCCAAGATTTCCTTTTGTTGAGCTGTTATGGAGCACAAGAACTTCTTTGTGCTACAGTTTTACCCTCAGTGACTGACAAGGTAACAAAAACCCCTTTTTCCCTTTGCTGTAGGAAATCTTTAACATGGATCAGGAAGAAAAGATTTCCAATCTGTGGCAGGACTGTGCTGGGACCAAATGTTTAACCTCATGTTTTAAATGGGTAACTCAGCCTCCATCTGGTGGAAGCTGCGCTCAGGCCATGCATCATGGGCAGGTGTTAATCCTTCCCCTCAGTGCTGCTCTGAGCACCTGAGGGCCTGGCAGGGGGTGTGGTTAGGCAAACAGTGGGATTTCCAGAGGCTGTGCTCAGGAGCACCTATTACTTAGGTGACTGCAGCTCTGTACAAGATCAGGAGGCTTCTTCTAAAGAAAAAGAAAAAATTCTTCCTTTCTGCCAAATTCTGCTCAGTGCACATGTGGAAAATCAAATAAATTCCTGTGCTTTCTAAAACAGGAACTGATATAAGTTTAAAATAATGAAGTTAGTGATACACTGAAGTGATTTAACCTTGCTTTCCTCTGTTGATGTTTTCTTACAGATTAAACTATCCCTTACTGTTGCCCTTTCGGCCTGCAACTCCTGGTGCTGTCATGAAAAATTTTCTGAACAGCCAGTTGTAAGCAGTCAGGCTTGGGACTGTGTATAAATCTGTTGCTTCAAGTGTCTTCCACCTCTGTCCAACTTCTGGAAACTTCAGGGCTGGGAGAACAAACCAGTCAAGATCATGATGTATTAAACAAGGTGTGTATAAAACCTGGGTGCAGAGACATCCATTCATATCCGACACCTTTCCCACAAGCAGTGGCAGAGGCATTTTCATAGGAGGAGCTGTGGTGAAGTGTCCCACAACTCAGCAGTTTGCCTTTTGACAATTTACCCTTTGTTCATGGAGCAACATCCAGATTTGTTGTAGTCAGCCAAGCCCTGTGGACAGCTCTGCAGGCATGTCTGGCAATTGTATGGAGCCACCAGGTCAGTAAAAGGATGCTTTCTGTTTATTTTATCCAGAGAAGCAAAGACATTAACTAAATGATACATCTCCTTTCTTGGTCAGCACAGCAGCTCTCCTCTCAGTTCAAAAGCCCTAGATAAATGCAGAGGAAGTCACTTGGATTAAATTTAAATCCAAGATTTAGTTCGGCAGATGTCCCTTTCAGAGCATTCACAGGCTATTAGGGGATCAACACACTGCAGGGCAGATCTCCTGCCCTGTGATTCTCTGAGTCTTGTGGATCACTCTGGCTACTGACTTGTGCCCAGACCTTCCCCACCTCTCCTGTCGCAGTTGTTGCACCCCAGAATTAATAGTTAAGCTGAAGATTTGAAACAAGATGCAGTATCTCATGCTGTTGCCTGTGTTTTGTTGTTTGTCTCTGTGGTGAGATAGCTTGCTTTCTGTGTGTGCCAGTAAAAACATCTACAGTTCCTGACATCTTGCTTTGGGAACAACAAGAGCCCAGCTCACCAGAGCTGAAATGGGAGCTAGTACATGACCATGGTGCAGGATTTTCCCTATTGGATGGGGAAATTCCAACTAGGCTATTATGGAGAGTCGACTATTTTGTACTGCACAAAACATGAACAACTTATTGAGATTGGTAACCCACACTTAGTGCATCTACTTGTGTGTCCAGGAGAATAAATCTACTCAAGTCAGAAGTTTTACTATATACTTAGATATAGTCATCATGTTCCCTTCCTTAAAAATTTCCTTATTTCCTCATACCATCCCTGCCTTGTTTTGGTTTTTTGGTTTTGTTTGTTTGTTTTTTTTAATTACAGTGCTATACTGCTATTGCAAACCTGAGCAAATTAAAATTTAGGATTATATAAAGGAAGTGAATAATTCTGAGTTTCATCATTTTTAAGCCCCTTTTGACAGATATTAGGCCTGTAAAATGTTAGACCTGCAAATGCAGCAAAGGCACTTGGCCTTTTATGTTTATATGTAATAGAGCTCAGCAATTTACCTTCTTTAGCAAGCAGTAAATTCAGCCAGAAAAAGACACCTTCAGACAGATCTTATGTTGGACATCTATACCTTAAATTTAGAAATACTTTTGATCAAAGAAGTACTGTGGGAGAATTAAAAATACCAGGTATTTCCTTTTTTTTTTTGAAGTTGGCACATTTAAACTTTTTATTAGTGTTCTTGTTGCTTTTTTTCTCATTTGAAAGATAACCATAAAAAAGGTTTAGTATATTTAAAAACACCATCTGTGAGAATACAAGCATGTTCCTACATGTGCAGCTTGCTTTTCTCATGCATATTCCATTACTTTGTTTATGATGTTTTGTAAAAAGTATGCAGAAGGGTCGTGAATTTATTTGAAATAAATTATCCATTCTTAATCAAATATCCTTCTAGTGTTACTGTGGCTCTAGTAAAAGGCAATGTTTAATGATCAATGAGATCATTATACAAAGAGTAATGAGATTTGTTTTTGAAACAGAGCAGCTTAGAGAAGCAATCAACTACAGACAAGCCTGCAATTTCGGGGTTTTAAGTTTAGCCGATAATGTGTTTTTTTTTCCTCTTCTCCTGGCAGCAGGGAGCTTTTGTGCGTAGGAGAGTGAAAAGCATCAGCTGAAAAACTCATCCTCAAATTACTACATGGAGAGCAAAAGCCATAAAGAGCAGTCGGTTAGACACAGTTCTTTATGATCAGAAGTAATCTCTCGGCTTTATTCATAAATAGGCAAGTTCACAGGTGCAGATGGTTTTATATGAAAGACCCTGATCCAAAGTCCACTGAAGCCAGCACAAGGATTTATGCTGACTTGAGTGGGCTCTTATCTCAGGTGCTGGTTTTGCAATTGAGAATTTTGGCAGGACCATAATGGCTCATTTAGTTGAAGCACTTGGAATTACCTTGCCTAGTGCATGTGCTTCGGCATTTCGTGTAAGTTGTGCAGAGTCCTGAGCTAGCTAGCAGACTATTTGCTTTATCTTAGCACTTTTGTTTATGAGAAACTGGCCAAAGTAATAAAAACCCAGTTACCACAGAGAATGCATTTATCCTAATACCTTCTCTGGGTTAGTGCAAAGGACTAAGGAGGAGAAATGATGCTCTTCCCAGCTCATAGGGAGATACATGCACGCATGACATTTCAGCAAAAATTCTTGATGAGTAGCCAGGGGACCCATTGTCATTCAGAAGATGAAGTTCAGCATATAGGTGCTGAATGGAGGTCCTTGGTATGTCAGCTGATGGCTGACTCATACCCTTTTGAGGTCTCTATACTGATGCTTTGTTTCCCATTACATCCTGCAGAAACTTTTCACAGAAC